AACAAATCTTACAAGATCAGCAAAATGGGTTGTTTTTAGCGGGGCACCATCCTCGGAGACCCAGGGGCAGTTAGTGGGGCGGGGAAAAGTCTAAACGGGCGAGAAAAAAAATCCGAATTTTTTCTCTCGCCCGTTTAGACTTTTCCCCGCCCCACTAACTGCCCCTGGGGCTCCGAGGATGGCGGGGCACCCGTCCAAGTACTAACCCCGCTGAACTGGGCTTAACTTTGGTGACTGGGCGAGACACGGTTCATTCGTTGTGGTTACCGTCTCAGACAAGTTGTTTTCAGGGTGTCACATCGCCTTATGTATTCTGATACCACTGCGTTTTACACTATTTCTTAATAATACCAATGTAGTTTCACTTTTCTCCTCTCTAACTCGATGTATACATGACATTGGCCAATAAAGTGGATAGTCTAAGTATATTATTGCAAAATAAAGCTGCCAAAATCGTCCTCGAAGAGCCTAAACATTTGTCTGCTACCGAGGCGCTTGAGCAGCTTGGCTGGGACAACATGACGAGAAGTACAACGTGTCATCGCTTGATATTGATATTTAAAGCTTTGAACGGCTTCGTTGACCGGGTTTTTAATTTTAGCACTTTAAAGACATTCATAATTACAACACGAGCAGTAACAAGATTTTTAAGCCTAAACAACATCGCTCCTGGGGCCAGAACCGTTTTGTCTACGATGCCATTAATGATTGGAACTTTTTTCCAGATGGAATTAGGAACAGTTCCAACATTTTTACTTTCAAAGGACACCTTAAGAGTATTTATTAATAGTTTTATTTTATAATTTATACATTCGTATCTTTAACTTTGTGAAAGTAGAATAGCTTTGTTTTTAGACTTTAACTTGTAGCTTATTTCGTATGGAGGGCCCCTCTGAAAACCACATATGTGACCTGGGCTATCGGTTTAAATATCGTTATTATTATTATTTTTTAACGACACTCATGCACGCAATGAGCTTGGGATACCTACATCTGTTCTATCTGTTTATAAGGAATAATTAAAATAGGATCAACATGAGAAACCTACACATCGCAAGAGGCCACTCCCTTTATTAAAGAAATCACATCATGATCACCAAAAAGCAAAAGTACACTATTCCGTTTTAAGCTCGGATTGTTACACCTCTCGTGACAACCAGTTGGTTTTCTTGCTGTAGAGCTAAAAGTATTTCATACAAACATTTTCTTAAAAATATTATTCTAGCAACAATCTAAATTGGGGTTCAATGCCTAAATATATTCCACTGCAGGACTTTCCACAATGGTGTACACAACAGACCAATTGAACTTTTTTCGAATTTGTTACATCGCCTTTAACTTGGTTCCTCAAGCACTACGACAAGTCTTCAAGCAAGAATGGGATTTCTTTTACAAAACAACGCTTGGAGAATGGAAGATACGCCAAAGAATGGCTTAGACTTTAATAATAACGAGTCTCGAAGAAGCCGCTCAAAGAATGCGCGATATCTGGCGACAACACAGAATGGTAAAACGGCAGAGTGGGACTGTAGCTGTTTGTTTTTCGCGATTCTGTTCTCAGATAGCATTGGCACAACTCTGAGTGCAGCCACCAGGAAAGAAGTCGATAATCTTCGTCAAGTCCGAAATGATATTGCTCATATCAGTAAGGCGAAGCTTACAGATGCTGAGTTCTTGAATTATGTTGGAAGAGTGTTGTCGGCGTTCAACTCTTTGAGTCTTCCGGTCAATGATATAGACGAGATTAAAAATCAGACTAGCTTTCCCACGACAGTAGTAAACGACTTAATGGCACAGGTTTCCAATCTCCAAACAGAACTGAATAAAGTCAAATCTGATTTGCAAGTTGCACAAGACACGATACAAAGAAAGGAAGAGCAGGTTGAATGTCTTTCGCAAGAAATTAATTCCAAAGTCAAGTCTTTCTGTAATCTCAGTTTCAAACCATCTCACGAAATTATCAAACGGTTAAATGACGTCAGAAGGATTATGACAACAATGCAAGAGCTTGGCGATAGAAGTAACGGAGCGGTCAGTACCATTTATTTCTCCGGTAATCCTGGATGTGGTAAAACTCAAATTGCTCGTCAAATTGGGCAAGAGTTCTTTACAAGCGCATCAGATGAAAGTGAAGGCTTAACATTCGTTGCAACCCTGAATGCGGAAACCCTTGAAACGCTCGCTGACTCGTACATCAGTCTGGCTAAACAATTGGGAATCACCGAATACAGCTTGACTAACCTGGCTACCACGAAAGAAAACAGCCCCAAGGACACAATGCAGCATCTCAAGTGCTTAATTTTGCCAAAGATTCAACAGTTCTCAAAGTGGTTGATAATAGCAGACAATGTCGTAGACCTGTCTTTGGTTTGTGGTTACCTACCTCAGACCGCTTGTGAAGAGTGGGGTCACGGTCAGGTACTGATTACAACTCAAGACAGCAGTGCAATTCCCACAAATGCTCCTCATACCTACCATGAGTCACTCAGTGCAGGAATGCAGCCCGAGGACGCAGTAGAGCTATTGAAGCAAGTATCGCAAATTTCTGGCAATGATGAGCAAGTTCAAAGGGTTGCTGAGGTTCTCGAGTATCAGCCACTTGCCTTGGCAGCCGCTGCGTTTTACGTACAAACTGTTACGAGTTGTGGTTCGCCAACCTACGGTTGGACAAATTACATGGGAGCACTTGTTAGTGGTAAGCGTGAGGCAACAGAAGAACCTCTTGCCAAAGGGAATCCAGCGTATTCCAAAACGATGACTACAGCAATTAAAATGGCAATAGATAGCACTTTGGAAGGCGAGGAAGTTCTTCGCCAGACATTTCTCTTTTTCTCGCTATGTGGCTCCGAATCTCTCCCAGTTGAAGCAGCCGTTAACTTTGTCAAAGTTCGCACTTCGGGACAGACTGAAGAATTAATCAGGGCAAAGATCCTAAAATCCTCCTTGATTACGTGTTTGTACAGTGAAGATGGAGCACCCGACTATGTAAGAGTGCATAACGTTGTCTATGAAATACTAAGGAAAATGTCATCGTTGGATTTTGAGTTGACAGAGAAACTTGAGGGCATAGCCGTAGCGATTCAGGTTTTCCATTCTCTTATTGAGGGGAAGCATAATCGCTTGGGTGAAAGTGGGCACGTTTGTGTCATGCTACGTAGCATTACCACCCATTGCAAAGCATTACATGAAATTCTTACTAATAGTTTTACTACAAAAGATGTTTTGGTGAAGGAGTTAACACCCTTTATCGCTCCTGAAAAGGTCATTACGTGGCTTTGTTTAACTGCTTCTCTGTGTTGTAACCTTAGCAATCCATCAAATGCAATTCTCTTTTCCACATCGGCCTGTGATTTTGTTCAATACAGTAGTAACACTCGAGAGGGCGACTTAATAAAAGCAGATGTCTTGGCTACACACGGGATAACATTATCAATGACATGCCAGTATAAATCATCAATATCATACCATGAAGAGGCTAGAAAGATTTATAAAGCAATTTACGGTGAATATCATTACAAGGTAGCACAAATTTGCTGCAACTTGGGAACTGTTCATGAAGATCTTGGACAGTACCATGAAGCCAAAGAATACTACGAGAAGGCATTTATCATCAGGAAAAAGATTTTCGGCGAGGAACACGCTTCAGTAGCAGCAGTCTATAACAACTTGGGAAATGTTCATGGAGAACTTGGACAGTGCCATGAAGCAAAAGAATACTACGAGAAGGCACTGATCATTAACAAAACGGTTTTCGGCGAAGAACATGCCGTTGTAGCAACAAGCTATAACAACTTGGGAACTGTTCATGGAGATCGTGGACAGTACCATGAAGCAAAAGAATACTACGAGAAGGCACTAACCATCAGGAAGAAGATTTTTGTCGAGGAACATGTTGATATAGCAGCAAGCTATATCAACTTGGGAAGCGTTTATCGACATCTTGGACAGTACCACGAAGCAAAAGAATACGACGAGAGGGCACTGATCATCTGGAAAAAGATTTTTGGCGAGGAACATGCTAATGTAGCAGCAAGCTATAACAACTTGGGAAATATTCACGGAGATCTTGGACAGTACTATGAAGCAAAAGAATACTACCAAAAGGCTCTGGTCATTAGGAAAAAGATTTTCGATGAGAAACATGCTGCTGTAGCTGCAAGCTTTAACAACTTGGGAAATGTTCATGGAGATCTTGGACAGTACAATGAAGCAAAAGAATACTACGAGAAGGCACTGATCATCAGAAAAAGTATTTTTGGTGAGGAACATGCCGCTGTAGCAGCAAGCTATAACAACTTAGGTATTGTTTATCGACATCTTGGACATTACCATGAAGCAAAAGAATACTATGAGAAGGCACTGATCATCAGGAAAAAGATTTTTGGCGAGGAACATGCCGATGTTGCAGCAAGCTATAACAATTTGGGAAATGTCCATGGAGATCTTAGACAGTATCATGAAGCAAAAGAATACTTCGAGAAGGCACTGATCATCAGCAAAAAGATTTTCAGCGAAGCACATGCCGCTATGGCAACAAGCTATAACAACTTGGGAACTGTTCATGGAGATCTTGGACAGTACCGTAAAGCAAAAGAATACTTTGAGAAGGCCATGATCATCAGGAAGAAGGTTTTCGGTGAGGAACATGCTGCTGTAGCTGCAAGCTATAACAATCTAGGTATTGTTTATCGACATCTTGGACAGTACAATGAAGCAAAGGAATACCACCAGAAGGCACTGATGATCAAGAAAAAGATTTTCGGCGAGGAACATGTCGATGTTGCAGCAATTGCATGCAAGCTGTAATGATTCGAAAATTATTTATCGACATGTTGGGCAGTACCACTGAGAAAACGAATACTTCGAGAAGGCACTGCTCCTCGATCAGTAAAAAGATTTTCGGCGAGGACCATGCTAGTGTAGCAGCAAGCTTTCAACAACTTGGAAAGTGTTTGTCAACATCTTGGACAGTACAATGAAAAAAAAAAGAATATGTAAACTTTACTTGTAAAGTATAGTTAACCACAAGAGCTTATTATTACTGTCCATCGATATGTCTCAGCCACAGACATGCTATTCTGTTATCGTGTAAGTGCATTACGAACTTGCCAAGGAACTTGATACCATAAACAATGGACACTACTAGCTATGTTGTCTCGGTATCCTTCTCAACAATTAGGGCTCATGTCAAAGGTATTAATCCTATCCATTACTATTGTACGCTCATCTTACGTTATCAGTTTTACTATCTGCTGCATATCCGATGTCAGTCGAACCTACTACGCTGGAATTCGCAGGTATACTACCTTTTGTTGTTCAAGGCAATGGAACCCCTTCCCTGCATCAGAGTTACAACTACGTTATTTCGCCTCTTGGCTCTCTGATCAAGTCAGCTTCCCAACCATTAAGCTGTATCTGGGTGGTAGCCGGTTTGCCCACATCGAAAACAGCCTTGCAGACCCGTTTGCAGATGCCCCCTTTCTTCGTTTACGTCTTCGAGGCCTCAAGCGGACAATTGGACTCTCCTCTCGCCGCCGTCTACCTATCACCATGTCAGTCATGCGCCAACTAAAAGGAGCTTTGGCAGATGACCCTCAGATCGCATCACAGGACAAACTCATGCTCTGGTCAGCCTTTACTCTGGCCTTCTTTGCCTTCTTACGTTCGAGCGAGTTCACCTCACCATCTTCAGTTCACTTCAACCCGCTGGTACACCTGTCCCGCTCAGACATCAGTTTTACCTCCGCAGGCTCCTTAACATTGCAACTGAAATCCTCCAAAACTGATCCCTTCCGGATGGGCTGTTCCATTACGCTCGCTCCTTCTGGCCGTTCAGTCTGTGTAGTACGGGCAATGCGCCGTTACCTGGCTTACCAGCTTCCAGGCAATTCCACCCCTCTTTATTTCTTCTCAACTGGGCAATTTCTCACCAGGGACAAAGTAACCTCAATTCTGCGCCTCCAACTTCAACGCTTGGGTTTTGCCACAGAGTCCTATGCATCCCGCAGTTTCCGCATTGGGGCTGCAACTACTGCTGCAGAGGCCGGCTTGCCCCCTTGGCTTATCCAAACCCTTGGCTGTTGGTCCAGCAATTGCTACACCCAATACATCAGGACACCTGCTTCAATACTCCAAGCAGTCCCTGCCCAGCTAGCCGCCACCCATAGTACTCCACTACAAGCTTGGGATCCAAGCACAGGACAATGTAGACCTTGTTAAAGTGCTCTAATATCTGTCACTACGTACCTGGCAGTATTTGGGGCATAACTTGGGTGCACACCTTCTACTTAGCTATCGCCTGCGTCAGGCTGGGTGGGTCCCTTACCCCACCTTATTCTTACCTACCTAAGCAGCTAGGTTGGGGGGCTTCGTTCTCTGGGTGAGTGCGCTATCACCCCAATTCATTCACTGGGTGTGTCCACCAACCGCCCAAGTTTCTGCTTTGGGGTTTGTGTCCGCTAACCGCCCCACGTTGTGTTTATGCTTTGGGGTTTGAGTCCGCTAACCGCCCCACGTTGTGTTTATGCTTTGGGGTTTGAGTCCGCTAACCGCCCCACTTTGTCTGCAGGGTGTGTCCGCTAACCACCCAATTACCTGTCCAGGGTGTGTCGCTACCACCCACTCTCATTGCTATCCCAGGGAGCACCCAGTGTCCATGGTCCCATTTACTGCCAGATTTGTCTTGTTATTTTTTGTCTATACAATATTATTAGAGAGCGAGTTGTTGTTAACCACGGGAAGGCACAGATCATCGAGAAAACTCTTTTCAGCGAGGAACATGCCGATGTAGCTGCAAGCTATAACAACTTGGGAATTGTTTATCGACATCTTGGACATTACAATGAAGCAAAAGAATAGCACGGGAGGGCACTGATCATCAGGAAAAAGATTTTAGCCAAGGAACATCCCCACGTAACAGCAAGTTACCGCAACTTGAGAATTGCTGACAATTACCTTAGACAGCACAACCAAACAAGGAGAAATGATTATTTTCTATTGTAACAATTTTGAATGTGGAGCTTCGGAAGCGGAAATTAGTTTACTAAGGCAACGGGTTGTGAGCGGAAATGGGCAGGTATTTTTGGTCAGCCACGCTTCGCACGTTAAGCATATTACTTTTATCTCGAACCAAAAGAAGATCAGGGTAAAAATTAATCCTCCATATAGGCCTTACACTCAAGGCAGTCAGCTGTTTTTCTTTGTTTGTTTTTCTCTTTCCCCGAAAAAAAGAACGCATGATCGCAGACTACCTCTTAAGTTGTTTGTAGACATGGTACCCGGTTCTTCAGCGGGTGTTAATTACTCGCACGATGCGTGGACAACTCAGGCGGCTTTACACGTAGATTTGTTCACGTTTGGTTTACAAAGCGTAGGGAAACCTCCAATGATGTGCGGATGTCTTCTTTGTAATTAAAAACAAAAGGAGCTGCAGCACTCGCCACGTTTAAATGCATTTCGAAACTTTAATAGGAGTTAAATTAAATAAGAGAGAGATCTCCCCTGCCTAAACTATAAAAACTGTCTTTGATTTTGCTTTTTTAACTTCAGGTGAACAGGGTTTTTCTTTTCGAAGACACGTTGCACTATATTTTTTTTGGTCTAGTTGCATCCTTCACGTCCCCTTCAAGTGAAAATCGTCATAACACGCGAGTAACATCCGCGAAAGAACTGGGTACCATTTCTTATCTTGGGTATCTTGGGTAAGGCCTATGATGGGGGATTAATTCTGTTATCTTTATTTATACTACTGGGTGGAGAGAGGCACTGTGAGAGTAAAGTGTCTTGCCTAAGAACACAACAGAGTGTCCCTGGCCAGGGCTCGAACCCGGACCGCTCGCTCCCGGGACGAGCGCACTAATCATGAGGCCACCGCGCCCCCCATAATCACGATGACTACTCACGATGACTTCGACAGCGTTGATCCTAGCAGTATGCAGGACACCTGTCATATATGAACTCAGTTAAATGACCTTACTCTCCATGAGTTCTCGTAGCGCTCGTAACGCTCGTGTCATGTTGATTAATTCACCTTCACATTTCATTACCGAGCTTAAAATTCACTATCTTTATTAACTTATCACTACTCACGATGACTTCGATAGTGTTGATCCTAGCAGTATGCAGGACACCTGTCACATATGAACTCAGTTAAATGACCTCGCTCTCCATGAGTTCTCGTAGCGCTCGTAACGCTCGTGTCATGTTGATTAATTCACCTTCACATTTCATTACCGAATTTAAAATTCACCATCTTTGTTAACTTATAACTTTAGAGATGTTACTTCTGTAAAGGAATGCAGCATGAGATCTCAGCGGGTCTTTGTTTTTGACTCGGCTGAGATAAAGGCTCGCGAGGTACCAGGTAAGCCGAGCAAGGAATGGGGGAGAAATAGGAAAATTCTACTCAGTTGAATCCCCTCACGGCGACCTCACGGCACCAGCAACTTTTCAATTGCCTAAGAGCCTGGGCTACTATAGTGAATCTGACAATAAAATATAATGATCGACGTAGGGTGAAAATCACTGATACCTCGTAAGTTTCGGGAAGTGATGGACATCTTATTTCTCCCTAACCCTTTTTCACCTGGGGGGAGGGCATACCGTTTAAACTTTGCGAGCTTTTCTAAAGTTCTCTGGGAACATTTCTGTGTTGTTTGGCCATGCGGCCTCATGTTTCTTTGTCAACCAGGTATTTAAGGTGTGTTTTACCTCAATTTGGATTTTTAAGTTTCATATTGTTTTACTGATATTTTCGATTTAATATACTTAGATTTTTTATACTAAAATCTTTTAATTTGTTCGTATCCATATATTCTTCGCTTTTTTCGAAGCAATTTTGGAGCCGTTCCGACATTTGTGAAAAATCGTTTAATCGAAGCTGGCGGAGATTTTTAAAGAAAAACATGACGTCATGCTTTTCGCGTTGTCTCCGAAGTCAATGCGGTTAGATGCTTTACACGTCATATACATTAAATTATAATCGAATATGTAGTTTTAGTAAGTAGTAAGTTTTCTAAGCGCAGACTAAATAGGGTTGGGTTAGAAGTCAATACATCGCACTGAAAACAGGATTGACAAGATCATCAACAGAAGGGCTGTCATCTTGATGTACTACTAAGGAAGCGTATGCCTATTAAGGATGGTTCGTATATGTATAGTTTAGTGGTGTGAAAGGGTAAACTCTAAGTCATCTTGGCATTTTCCACTCGAGGCTCCTGATATATCTGTATTTGCTACCAAAATCTAGGGAAAAGCAAAGAGAACAAAGGTTTTCTCCAGCTCCTGCAAACAACATCAATGGGGTCAAAATCGCGGGTATGGGCTCTTTAGCGCTTTTGCTACCCAGCTTCGAAATTCATACCCCCTCTTCCCAGCGTATTAGCTTTTACTTACATATTGTGGGTGGGGGTGGGTGTGGGGGTAGGGATGTGGTGTTAAAGGAGTAGAGGGGGTCACCCTTTACCACCCTGTAAAAGCGCACAAGCCAGGCCTTGCCTATACTGGTGGTATTAAACTGAGGAAGACTCAAATGTCAACAAGAGATCTTGTTTATTTCAACAATTACATTACAAGAAAGACAAGAGAAATTCATGAACAAAAAGCTCGCTGCTTTTTGCATAAATTGTTGAACCTGTCTATCCGACTAAGTCCCACTCGCTTATTCACACAAAGTCTCCAACGGATCACTGGTAAAAAAATACATCCTTTACATTACTGGCCAGTGAGGTTCTTGAACGTTAGTTTTTTAAATTTGTAAGCATACTTGCTTTACATATTCAATTGTGCAATTCGTGAAATAACAATACCATACCTAGCTTGGGGTCCGTCAGGACAACAAAATATCAATAATTAACACTTTGGTGCATTTTAAATTGAACATACATTAAGTACAATAATTTACAACTAATGAATCTGCTTTCTTCAGTCATGGTTAGCCTCCAACTTAATTATCACACAATCCTCCGAAAGATTGTATGACAAAATTGGAAAGATCGTGTTACAAAACCGGAAAAATGGAGACTACCACCTGAACAGTCGCAGATATTGATTTAACAAGAGTTGCAGAAAAAATACCGGAGATCACAAAAATAGGGGAAAAAAACATAACCAATGGACTTAAATATAATGTCAGTTTTGGAAGCAAACTGGTGTACGAATTTCAGTTTTCAAGCCACAAATAGTATCATGTGAAAATGGCGATTGAAGAAAGTTACTTCCAACCAATGGCACTGCTTTCCAGAAGAGCAACCAGGCCAATGGACACGATGTACAATGAACCAACGATGGCACCAGTCCACAACTACACCATAAAATAAGAGAGAATAAATAACAAAAATATTAGTTGTTTATTGACTCACCAGAAGAGCCAGGCAGAATATCTTTGCACACCATTTCTAAGGAATCTCACTGCCCTTAGCCTCTTATAGAGACCTCCTGTGCTTTTTTTATGCAAAGAGTATGTGATAAAAGACATCCTAAGGCCTTGTTCACACTAGTGACATAACAACATAACAGCAGGACCATGCGAGAACACTTCATGCTGATGTTTTAGCAACCAGTGTGAACAACAAAAGCGGAGCATAATGACATAAGCATAACCACCGTCAGGAAAAACTGAGCTTTCATTTCTCAGTTTACGTTATTGTGAATACCAGTGTGAACGACGCTAAGAAAACAAAACTTTGTGAGCACCAACATGTTTGAGGTCTTAAGGAGTCATGTTTGGCTTAGTTTAGTCCTGATTTTAGTCAGCTTTTTGCTGAATAGCTGACTGACTGTAAAACAGCTCTTTACTGGCATATTTGGGACTTATAAGTATGTACCTATACTGAAAATAAGTGGACTGACCAAGTGCATTAGAGCCATTATGGCCCAGTAAAGCAGTATCATGGTCTTAAGCAACCAACAGTCTAGCAATTTTTGTTCAAAGGAGAGATAGAGGGAATTTAATACTATAGTGATGAAGAAATTACTATGATGGCTTGAAACCACATAGGCTCAGCTAGGGTGAGGACATGACACAGAGAGGAGACCTTTCTGGTGATATTTCTATTGTTTCACAACTGATTGAAAAGAAGCTTACCTTGTAAGTCAAACGGAAACCAACGATTCCCACAACCCACTGCACAAAGATAATCACAGTCACCTCTGCAGATGAAAATTTGAGAAATCAATCCTCTATCAGACAATTTATTCATCCAACCTCTGTCTGTCCGTCAGTTAGTCAATCAATCAGTCAGTCGGTTCGCCTTTCAGTCAATATAGGAACTGCTACATAGTTCTAATAGCTCTCACCAATACAACGTGTATTAGGAATAAACCTTAACATCTCCTGCTTGATGATTTTCCTGATTCTCATCACCTGTCTGGTTGATGTGCTTTTTCGTAGGGAGAAATTAGCTTTTCATCCCCCTGATATAGACTAACCTGCAGAGTAGTACCACTTCAGATCTCGCAAGTAAACAAGGGCAGCAAAAATGCCAAGACATAGGGTATTGTTCATTGTGCCAGCTCCATACAACTACAACACCAATGGAAACAAAGACAATTTATTAGATCATGTGCTTATTATCTGTCGCAAATCAGCACACCAAGTACTGTAGGCTCGATTACCAGCCGCTGTTCGGGAGAGGAGCCTGCATTACTCCCCGAAGCCACTCTCCTCGGGGAAGGAATGTAGACCAGACACGAGAGCGACGGAAATCAAGCCTAACCTTACTGTTTATCTCATCAGAGCTCAAGATTTCTATGAGGTGATAGCTAATGAGGGTGAAGTAATATACTTTGTATCAAACTCGGAAGACTGTGTAAGATCACATTTCCAACACTGAGAAGATCAGAGCTGAAAAATTTAACATGATATGTACTGTAGCAGAGTATACTTTTGATGAACTTCAAGCTAAAGTTAAAGCTAAGGAGAATTAATGGAGAAAAAAAATCATGGAAGACTATGCTGACCCTGTCAAGGTCATAATTTCCTTTGTTAATTTTTTTGGAGAATTGTCTATGAGTTTGATGAGGTCAAATCAACAATCACCTCATCTCGAGTAATCTTGCTATCTAAATTTCCTTCAAATAACATTTAAGTAGTTTTATCCGATAATGTTTCAAAATCTTCCCCTGAAAGAGTCCTAAAATTTCAGGGAAACGAAAATACACGGTCATGTTTTAGACGACCTTCAGCCAGTGGACACTTCTGTGCCTGGCAGTGTACTTTTAAACCAATCAGATTACAGCATTTGCATTAGTTTACAGGTAGTAACAATTATACTGCAAACACATTGTTTTTCTGATTGACTGATAGTTGCACTGGGGCTGGGGCTGGCCCAGTTTCAGAGTTGATGCAAACTGAACCACTAGATCTAGAGTGAATAGAGTAGTTTTGTTTTTGCAATATAACCTTGTGGCTGCTACTGGTAATTTTTGTTGGCACCAAAGTAACCAGTAAGATTGCACGTTTGCTAAAAGCTGGCCACTAGAGCCCAATGACATGTAAACACGACCCAGGGGGCTTGAACCTGGATATTGGATTACAGTAACAAGCTGCACACTTGCAAGAACATCACATTTGCAGATGTCTGAGTCTCCACCTTGTTTAATTCTCTTATCCCAGACAGAAACAATATTACCTGCGCAAAAGTCATGGAGATGTTTTCTTTCCTCTTCTTGGAGGCAAAAATCAGGGACGAGACAAGTTCCGAGGCATTAGAGCAGAGGGGGGTTACCACAAATGACACATAGAATGCTAAAAGACAAGATTACAAAACACAGCATACTGTAATCAAGTACATATAAGATAAGAGAGGAAAGTAATAAATTTATCACTGAAATGTAAGAAATTAAAGCAAAAAAATCCCAGAAAATGAATTTCTGAATCAAGACAATTCTTAACTTCTAGGTGGGGAGTAAGACTATGATGCAAGTGTATCTTGCACAAAAATACAAATATTTACATGGAAAATGAAGCTGTCAATATTCAGACTGATTTTTCTAGAGCCGACCACTATCTAGGCCAAGACCTACCAGGACACTGATTTAATACCTGTAGTCCTGAGTAACTTTCAATTTTTCACCACAGGAATAAGGATGAGTTCAAAAGGTTATAAAGTAATTATTCTGCTTCCTTATCAGCTTTAGTTTTTGAGAGATATGGGATATAATGAAGTAAATTTCACACAATAAAATATAACATGCATATAAAAATTAAACATAACTTACCTGAAATAGGAATGTGAGATTTGTTCTTTGGATTGGTCAGTGAATCAAGCACATCACACATTGGATCAGCAAAAATTGTCACCTATAAGCAAGACCGAACATTGTTCAAATGCAGTTATGACTGGTCTTAGAGGGTAAACACAAGTAATGTCAGAAAGATGGTCAACTTAAGGGAGAACTTAATCCAAAAAACTGATCATACACTTCTAGTGTGAATTCCCTACACTGTATTGTTGGCAAGTGAACACTTGGCCAGGTTGTTCAAAGCCCAATTGAGCTAACTCAGGATTTGCAGGAATTTTTATTTCATTTTTGTAACTTTTCAGTGAGGTTTTCTGTTTATACTGTTTGGCCGTCAGTTTCGAGCTTGAGTAATCTCAAACTACACAAAACATAAGCAGTGGAAAACATTTTTATAGAAGAAAAAATTATACTTGGGTTAACTTGTAATCCTGGGTTAGCATTAACCGGCTTTCAAACAACCCAGCCCAGGGCAAGAAAGTCTGAATGCAGATTTTACTCACCAAACCAACTCCAAGGACAAGAAGACCAACACACTTCAGGGCCAAATGAGTGAAACTTTCTTCACCTTCCTCTTCCTCCTATTAACCACAACATAGCAAATCAAATAAATAAAACAATA